TGATTCTTTTTTCTTTTTTTTTTGTTTTTTTTTGTCTGCTTGTATTATTTCAAACAGCCCATCTTCAAGTTCAGAGGTTGTCTCTTCCACTTCCGCAAGCCTGCTTGTTAAACTCTCCATTGTGTTTTTTATTTCACTGAATAGCTTCTTCAGTTCGACAAGTTCTGCTACATTTTTTTTCAGGGCATTGATTTCCTTGTACATTTCCTCTTTCAGGTCCTATATACTTTTCCTCGTTTCATCATGATGTGTAGCTGAGTTTTCTTGTATCTCATTCAGTTTCCTTAGAATTATCACTCAAAATTCCTTGTCAGTCATTTCAAGGGCTTCTTGTTCTATAGGATCTAGAGCTTGAGAATTATTATCTTTGGGTGGTGTACTTTCTTGATTTTTCGTATTTCTGGTGTCTTTTCTTTGATGTTTATTCATTGTGGCAGGGTGTTTCACAGTCCACAGTTTTGACACTATTGCCTGACTAAGATGTTGCTGGGGTTGCCAAATTGGTATGGCTACCTAAGTGACTACTCAGTTGGCCACTAGTGCCAGGCAAGTCCAAAATTGACTTCTGGGATGATGGTGGGGCGCTCGCGCTTCTCCCTCCGGTGAGTCTCAGCCTCCAGCTTCCGTATTGCACTCCTGATTGTGCCGCAGCCTGCTCAGTCTCTCTCTTGCTTGCGGTTCCAGTGGTGCCCAGGGCTGGGGAGGTGACAGCCCCCTCCCCGGCAAATACCGCAGTTGCTGGACCCTGCATCCCGGCAGCGGGGCCGCACGGCCTGGCCCGGTGCTGAGTGCAGCAGCAGTGAGTCCGGGCGCCTAGTGGCGGCCACTCCCGGCGGCTTCTTCCTGGGGAGGAGTTTGTAAATCTCACAAAATGGCGCACGCTCCAAACCTCAGTGCACGTATTTTGAGAGTCCCCTTCAAGGTCTCAGCAACCCTTCAGAGGATTCCACCTGGGTAATAACAGCTACCCCCGGCTCAAGCAAGGACACCAGAGATTCTGACTCACCATCAGGCTTTTTGAGTTCCTCTTCTTGCTGGTGGCCGCATGTAGCTGCCGGAGTTGTGCTGGTTGTAGTGCTTGGGCTGCACGTCGATCCCCCTGGGTCTTTCTTCTGAAGGCTCATGTCACATAAAACTATGACATAATAAAATTTGTTATGCTTTTTCTGCATATTAACCTGTGTTTATAAGGTGATTTTTCAGAGACTCTTAAGGGGATTGAAGGGATGTCTATCCTTGGCCCTACATGTGCAAATCAATAAGTTGGCATGCAGACATTTCTGGGCTTAATTTACAATAACCAGGGCAAGCAAATGGCCTCAGGTTCTGCAGGTCTTGGATTCCCATCCAAGAGCCTGAAAGAGCAATGGCACACTCTACAAACCTTGTTCTGGAATTCTTTTGATGCCAATTTATAATGGTGAATTATGAGACCATATGATTCGGAGCCTTTGGAGAAAAATAACAGCATGTGATTCAGGATGTGCAGTTCATAAATGAGATCTTTATTCTGCAATTAACAGGAAAACACGTCATCCTGAGCACACACAGCCTCCCCAGCTACCCTTCTCCCAGGGGACCCTCTGTTCACTGACCTTGGAGTTGTATTCAATCACAAAATCTGTAAGGTGCTGTTTTATGACTTGACTGAGGTCATACTCGTTGGTACTGTCATTAATCAGCTCTTGGCATTTCACAATTTTTCCCTTGGACGAGAGAAAAAAAAATTGGAGGGCAGTCACTTCCATGATACAGGCACTTAATAAATATAAATAGCACAATTTTCCCCTTGGATAAAAGGAACACCCTGAGGCATGGTGGTAGGTGTAATCCATAATCAAGGAACCTGCTAAATATGAATGGCGGGGCAGATTATCCTGTGGGTGGAACAAAGGTATGTGGTGGTCATGAAAATCTCAGATCTACAACAGGGATTGTAATTGACAACCCTAGTTGTCAGGCTCTGAAATTCATCAAAATATTTGTGCGGAGGCTGAGCAGTTTCTCACACATGACTCCCCACTAATGACAGAGGGTGTCAGGGATACTAACGCAAGCCCATTCCTGGGAGACTCAGGACTTCCCTGATGGACGATTTTGATGAACTTTCTTAGAACCCCACTGCAGTCAAAGACTCATCCCCCAGCCTTCTTCCCTTTCAAAGGATCAGACCTTCCTCATGGTACGATGGCTCTCAGGGTCTGTCCCAGCTCTCTGTTTTCCTTCAGAGGCATTTTCCCTAATAAATATTTTGTATGTCTAATCCTGATTGACTGCTTCTCAGAAGGACCTGTATTAACACAGGGAATGATATAATTCTCTGTAGCTCGGGAAGGAGAAAGAAGCAGCTATCTCCTAATTTCTGTTCTATTGCCATCCCTTCATCTTTCCAATCCCACCCTCGTCCAAACCTCTCCCCTGGACTCCTGCATGGTCTCCTACTGGTCTTCCAACTTCTCTCCTTGCTGCCCTCAATCCACCCCCCAAAGTTCAGGCAGAGTATTGTTGTCAGAACACAAACGTGATTATGTCATTTTCTCACTTAAATACTTTATAGTCCAAGTTGTCCTCCAGATAAAGCACAGACTCTTTACCGGTCATAACAGTAGTCTAATAATACTAACTGCAGAGCTCACGTTATGCCAGCCGCTGTTCTAAGCATGTTATATGCATTAACTTATCTAATCTTCATAACATCTCATTGAGCTGTGCACCATTAACTCTCCCATTTACAGATGAGGGACTGAGGCACAGAGAAGTGAAGTAGTCCACGGATGCTAAGCCCATGAGAGGCGGAGGAGGACTCAAGCCCAGGCAGTCTGACTCCAGTGCTCATGCTCTTACTCATTAAAATATACCAGATCTCTCTCAAATGCATTCCCCAAGGTTGCTATTTGGCTTTTGATTTTGTGATGGGGTTTATTCTGCAAAACTTATAAATTTCCATGTGGCCCAAATCTATTGGTATTTTTCTTTTCATTGTTTCTGTGGTTTCTGTCTTTCCTCATAAAGGGGCTTCCCAATTCCAAGTTTAGAAAACAAGCTATCCTACGGCATCTTCTACTCTTTCCATGGTTTAATTTTTTATGTTTTTGAGTTAGGAATCAATCTGGAATTTAATTTGGGATAAGATGTGATGTATGGATCCAGGTTCAGTTTTTTCCCAAGTGGATACCAAATTGTCTCAACACTAGTAATTCAGTAATACATATTTTCTCACTAATCTAAAATACCATCTTTATCACATACTAAATTTCCGCAAGTGTTTGAATCTATTCTGGACTCTATGCTGTCTCATCCAAAAACACAAGTCAGGTTATTTTACTCCCCAGCTTAAAACCTTTCAATGACTTCCACAGGCTAAAAAAAAAAATAAAGGTCTCAGAGTCTTCTCTGAAACTCAAGCACATCTGGGTATGGCTCCACCTCCCTCCTGCGTGGTCTTGAGCAAGTCACCCAGCCTCTCTCGGCCATATCTGTAAGTAACACACCTGTTGTAAAGATGTGGCTTTGTGTGGGGAGAGAGTAAGGCACGTCCCAGGAACTGGCCACAGTGTCTAGAGCAGCACTATTCACTAGAACTCTCCGTGATGATGGAAATGCTCTGTAAATCTATGCTGTCCAATACCATAGCCACCAGTGACATGTGGCTATGGGGCACTTGAAATGTGGCTAGTGTGATTGAGAAACTAAAATTTTAATTTAATTAATTTTAATTAAGTTTAAATAGTAACACGTGGCTGGTGGCTGCCACATTGGATGGCTCAGGTCTAGATCCCAGAGAGGGAGAGGAGGAAGGTACTCAATGGGCACAGACTCATGAAAGGCCCTGTGGCTCTTTCTAAGGGTTTGAGTCTTTATCCTATTAATGTGAAGCCATTAAAGGACTTTCAGAGGGGAGGAAGGGAGTGACCATCACATGTGAATTTGGTAAGAGTGCTCTTTAGAGGACAAGAGTAGATCCGTTGGGTGTCTGTTGCAATAGGCTGTGG